TAACAGCAACCCAGTCTTTGGAGCCCTTCAGGTCCAAAACCTCCTACGAACAAAGCCCCTGACAGAATCTTTTCCTCGGACAGGGTCCCATAGAATTGTTGTTCCTGTGCAGACCTTATACAAACTCGACGCATGTACTCATAGCCAAACCCCCGCATCTACATTCTAAGAAGGCCTGCAACACATAACCCGAATAAACGCACCACGGTTTCTGCATGTCATCCCTTCCAAGACGCTTTAGAAGGGCTGAGATGCTGCTTCGTTCGCTACACACAGCTAAACCCTAAACCCCAAACGCCAAAGCCCAAGCCCTAAACCCTAAGCGCTTAAACCCTAAACCTTTAAACCCCAAAGCTTTAAACCCCAAACCCCTAAAATCTCATCCGCAAAGAGCCCCCGGCCACCCACCTTCGCACCAGCAGCATCAGCGGCCTCAATGCTAAGGCTGCGCAATCATGAAGGCTAGGGTGGTTGAACAAATAAAGGTTACATTCCTCAAATACCTTATAGGTATAGGTACCCCAACAGGGAGATACAATCTTACTCCTTCTTCTGACTCTTCTCCTCCCAAATAGTCTACAACTCATGTGCACTTGCGGGTGTCCCCTAAACCCTAAACCCTAAACCCCAAACCCAAAACCTAAACCCAGTCCTTCAAAAGGAGTTTAGGGATTATAGTCCCCCTTAAGTAGATAGAATATGGGATATATGGAGATCTTATTATAATATACCCAAAGCCACATTCTATCTACTTAAGGGGGACTATAGGAATTGGGGTTTTGGAGGTTTTGGGCCTGCTCATCGGAAAGTTTCAAGTTACGGCTCTCCAATTCTACGCAGAGACCAGCAGGCTCTGTCCCAAACCTTAAACCCCACACCCGGTTTAGGGTTTAGGGTTTAGCTCGAAAATGCACGGAAATCCAACAAAAAGCAGTCCTGAGCCCATTCACCTCCAGATCTCAAACCCCAGACCATGCAATTCAAAAAACCCTGCCCCAATGGAACGCAATAAAATCAAAAGAGGCGGTGTTCCTTACGTACCCCAAAACCCTGTCAACTTAAAACCCCCAAACCTCAGCGCTTAACCCTAAACCCAAACTACTGGGTTGCTGTGCAGGAACTTAAATTAAGTGACTAGAACCAGAAAACTCGATTATTTAATCCATACCTGTATTGTGGTAACTTATTTCGAAGTTCTTAACAGCAACTCGAGCTATGTAATCGTCATTGCAAGGACTCATAGGAATATGAGGACCCTAGTAGGTGTGTTCCTCATATATTCCTATATTCTTCGGGTTCCCTGTGTTGGAGGGTTACCAGATTACTTCCTCTACTGTAAGGGCAAAACACTATGAACTCAAAACCCTAAACCCTAAACTGTGCAACCCTCATTATAGAACTGACAGCTCTAGACCCCAAACCCTAAATTATGTAACCCTCAACCCCAGACCTTAAACCTTAAAATTATGTAACCCTCAACCCTAAACCTTAGACCCTAAACCCTGAATTATATAACCCTCAACCCTAAACCCTAAATTATGTCACCCTCATTGTAAAGGCCCTAAACCCTAAACCCTAAACCCTCATTGTAAAGGCCCCGGCCTCGGCAGTCAAGAGCATGGGGTTGATACTCCTCCAGTCCATCCCCTTTTGCCTCGCAAGGGGGGGGAGGTTCCGTAGTTAAGGGGACCGCTGATATACCCCAATATATGTAGGGACATATAGGGTTTAGGGTGTAGGGGTTAGGGTTTAGGGCTTCCCAAAACTAGGGATACTTTTTTGGGGGTACCAGAATAAGGACTATAATGTATTGGGGCATGGGTTTCGGGTTTAGGGGGAGTTTCCATAGTTAAGGAGACCCCTGATATACCCCAATGTATATGTTAGCCCTGTAAAAGAAACCCTGTCAAAAGTTAAAAAGGAACCCATTTTTTCGACGCCCTCATATCGGGCTGATCAAGAACAGTGAGGCACGTGATTTAGGGCTTATGGTTTAGGGCTACTTCCTGATTGTTAGTAAGCAGTAGACGAAGGAACTTAGCGCAGTAGTTCCAATGTTCTTTCCCATCGCCTACATCCTAGTGGCTGCCATTTTCTTTTCTGTTCCCTAAACCTTAAACAGTAGCTTCTAGTCTCTGCTCCATTCCCGCAACCCTAAACAGAGGTTTACGTCCCATTCTCCACCCCCTAAACGCAAACAGTAGTGTCCATCCTCTTTTCCATGCTTCATTAAGAGATCAAGGTCATGAATCAGAGAGCTGGGCTGAAAGTCCAAGTGATTCGGGATGGAGATTTGAGCTATAATCCAAAATTCGTAGTATCCCCCCCCACAGTACTCCCCTATATAACCCCCCCATATAACCCCTACTTAAAGGAGCTTAGACCGTAAACCCTAAACCACATATAATCCCCTTTAAGGAGTTTAGACTGTAGCTCATTTAGGAGTCATGCCTATGCACTTTCAAGTGCCTGGGTGGCATTAGTGCCTGCTATGGACCTCAAGCATCTGAGACCAAGGGGTTTAGGGTGAGGGTTTAGGGGCTTAGGTTTAGGGGTTTAGGGTCTAGGGTTTAGGGGTTTAGGGTTTAGGGTTTAGGATCTAGGAGGGGACTTAGCAAGCCCCCCAAACGCATCGACAATGGATTGAGAGTAAGCAGCGCCCAGAGTAGGATCGTTGTTCCCAATTCTTGGTTCAAGATCCATGAGTAAAGCCCCTAGGCGTTAGACCTCTAAACCGAACAACTCCCGCAAACAACACTTAAGCCTACAGCCCGAAACCACAAACCCAAAAGCTGCAACAGTCCTAAACCCTAAACCCCTATGCCCTAAACCCTATTATAATGTAGTAGTTTCCATTTTCTCTTTCTTTTCCATTATCCCCATATAAACCCTAAACCCTTAACCAACCTACGAAAGGTTGTGCAGTTCAGGGTTGACATGTGCAGCTGGGATTCGTCATGAAGCACTCGCAGTGAGGTTGTCGCCTGGGATGCAAAATAATCTCCAAGTCCCCGAAACAAAAACCCTTATCTAAGGGTTTAGGGTTCAGGGAGCAATTTACCTGAAAGTACGCAAAGATTGCTACTACATTCTGAGTTTTTCTATAAATGCAAATCGCCAATAAGACCAAAACAAGTAACAAGGACAAAGGACTAGGCAAACAAGAGATAACAGTACAATCCCTATAAAACCCCAATATACACCCCATTAGTTCTTTTCCAATATCCCTCTTTAACCCCAATACGTAGTAAAGGACTCCGCCGGCCCCTCGGCCACCGCTTGCTCTGCAATGATAAACACAAACTTCTTCTTGTCCAGTTATAGGGGTTACATACTGTTGATACTAAAAATCCTGCATGACCTTAGTATACTATAGTACCATTATTCCCAAGGTTTAGGGTATTTAGGGTCATGCAGGATTTTTAGCATCCACCGTAGGGGTGATATCGGGGGATATCTAGGGGTTAGGGTGTAGGGTTTACCAAGCTCGTCCCAACACAGCTCCACAGCCCGCATATACCCCAAAGAAAGAAGCGCCCTGGACCCTACCCTAAACCCTATATCCGAAAAGTTATCCTAAACCCTAAACCCTAAATCTTGGGTCAATCCCCCACCCAGTAATGGGTACCACAAGGGACTATTGTAGGTATATTAAGGTCCCATTAACTCCATATTAAGGAGCCATTACTATAGGGGGATTGACCTAACCTAAATCCTAATTCCTAATTCCCAAACCTCAAACCCTAAATCCTAAACCCGAGACCCTAAAGCTAGAACAGCCAGCGACATGGATGCCTAAACACGTACCCAGACCTCCCAAATACCCTTACTAGGGGTTTAGGGCTGACCAACCCTAAACTCTGATCCCTAAAGCTCTAAACCCTGGACCTCAACCCCCCTATAGTCCCATTAAAGTAGATAGAATATGGTTTTTGGTATATCATAATAAGATCTCCATATACCCCATATTCTATCTACTTAAGGCGGACTATAAACCCTCAAAATTCTAAACCCTACGCACGCCTAGAGCCCTCACAATGCATTCTGGTTAGGGTGAGTCTCCCGGGATCTAGGTCTCCCAACTCGTCTAAGCTGCAGCGAACCTGTCTAGGATCTTAGGGTTCAAAGAGCTTAGAGTTCAACTTTTAGGGTCTTTGGGTTTAGAAGGCCAAGACTTTCCAAAACCGTGCGATCCATTTTCGGAGTTCAGGAGTTTCGCTTTTCTGAGGGTTCGAGAAGGTTTTGGGTTTCGGGTTTAGAGGTCAAGGGGTTGGGTGCGCTTAGGGCTCACGAGACTAATGCCCGCAACCCGTTTGGAGTTTGGCGTTTTGGGGGGCGTGGCATTGGAGGCGTTGGGATACTTAGGGCTTGGGCTTTTTGATCTAAAGAAACTATGCCGGGTATTCTTGTGGGCCTTGAGGCTCAGGCTTTTATATGACAAACACTTTATGGAGATACGAGGAGGTCCTGTAAAATGGAGGATTGTTTTGTGATCCTTACACAGAACTGACGGTCTTGTGCGATATCTTTGGTACTCCCCCCACCCAGTAACAGTGCGTAACAAGGGTAACATTGAGGACTCCGGATAAGTATATCATACATATCATCCAAATTTTACTGAGTGCAGGGTTAAGCGATATCCCGCTGAGGATCTCTAAGCTTGACATTGGTCACTACGATTTCGGCAATTGTCGGTCTCTGAAGAATTCCTGATGGAATGGTGTCCGACCAGTAGTTCACATAGACACGCTTAGCAATATTGTGTACTGGCATCCATTCGCTTCTATCACCGAAGTTGCAGGTTGAAGTTATGTTTTGAGATTTGTTTGTGGGATGAGGCTAATGTGGGGGATTGTAAAAATTATGGTCCCTTTTTGGGCCCCCTCAATTAGGCCCCGTATTAGGCCCCGTATTATAATAGGGACCCAAAAAGGGACCATAATTTTGACAATCCCCCATGTGTTCATGAAGTCAAAAGAAAACAATAAAAACCCTCCAACCCTGACCTTCTTGTACACTTCGAAAGCTAGATGTATGTCTGCTTGGAGGCTCATGGGGACTTAGTAAGTGACTTTGTAATTAGGATAACTAGGGTTATCATATGGGTTATAGGGGTCATTAACCTACTTACTAAGTCCCCCTGACCCTCCAAGTGCTGTGCACACGTAGCATGACGCGTCTTGGTCCCCACTGCATGGTTACGGTTCATGAATGAAATTCCGCTTTACCCTATATACCCAAAACCAAGAAGTTATGGTACTCTAGTATACTCAGAATTGCCCAGGCTCTTTTGCATCAACTACGTGCGGTAAAAGCATGATCGTGACGCATAGGACATTCCCAACCTTCAACACTCAACACGCAACATCATGGACTCACGAAAACAATTGGATCAAGTGTTGGATGTGCCATAATACAGCCAAAGTGGGACTCTTTTGAATCCCATCTGAGCAAGTAAACATGTCTACGCGGACATGGGCTAATATGATGATTTTTTGGGACTCAGCTTGAAGATAGCAAAGTAATGCTTTTGTCCGCCCTCACTCCTCTCGGACAGCCCTAAACCCTGAACCCGGAATAGTCAAGGGAGGCTACAGGAGGGTAGTGTACGTTCATACTACTTCCACACCCAAACCATCAATTTGAGATGGCCTCTCCTATGCCCACACGATGCACGCTTTATACCCCAAACCTTCAACCCAACCCCCAACCTTGAGAACCCACATCGAGTCCAAGAAGCGGTTTGTGCACCTTCGGAAGGCGCAGGAAGCACCTGAAACCCCAGGCCCAAGAACCTGAGCCTTGAACCCTAAACCCTAAGTCCTAAGCCCTAAACCCTAAGCCCTAACCCCTAATCCCTAAACCCTAAACCCTAAACCCTAATCCCTAAACCCTAAACTCTAAGCCCCATAGCTGGTGGCTTTCGGATAGCGACTTGCTTTGAGTTTCGGGATGATAGAGGAGGGGGGGTTCTCGAAACAGGGTGGCACCAAGGGACTCCAAGTCTAGGTTGCTGTATGGTTTAGGATTTCTTGTTTTTTTTTTGCTGCTCCTTTTGTTTAGGATTTAGGGTTTAGGGTTTAAGGTTTAGGGTTTAGGGTTAAGGTTAACCTTAAGCCCTTAGCCCCTTAACCCTTAAAATCTAGAGCTTAGGGCTTAGGGTTTTGAGGCAAATAGAGACTACAAGGAGATTCGTGGGGCCCTCTTAAACCCTCAACCCTAATCCCCTCCTGAGGGCTGTATAAAGCTTAGGTTGACGAACCTGCATTAGCGCTTCAGCCTTGGAACTTAGGGTCCACACCACAACAATCCCGAAACAGTGAAGGGCTTAGGGTCCAGGGTTCAGGGTTTAGGGTTTAGGGGTGGTGATGTTATACTCCCCCTTAAGTAGATAGAATATGGGGGGCCTAGGGGGATCTTATTATAATATGCCCAAAGCCATATTCTATCTACTTAAGGGGGACTATACACCCATATAGGGACATGCAGTGGATACTATGAATCCTGCATGACCATAAGTACCTTACAGTAAGGTCATGCAGGGATCTGTAGCATCAGCAGGGTGACTGTTATGGAGTGGAGTAGTAGCCAAACCCTAAACCCTAAACCTTGCCATACTTTCATACATAAGCCCAGGCACCTTCCAACGCCCTGAGTTGCCCCAACGCACGGCACCGCTACAGGTGCATTCGTGATTTTGGGCAGCGCAGAAGACCTAGGGAAGACACCAGACGGTTTAGGGTTGAGGGTTTTGGGTTTAGGTTTGGGGGTCTAGGGCTTCTAGTGTTGAGGGTCCAGGGCTTAGGGTTGAGAGTTTAGGGCCTAGGCTTTAGAGTCTAGGGTTTAGGGTTTCAGATTTACAGCCAGGGCCGACAAGTCGAAGATGGCTTGTCTGCTTTTTTCTCATCTTCACCACCAAAAAACGAAGAGGAATTCAAAAGGGCCCTACATGGACTACTATGCTTGTTCGTTGGCGCCTTGTGGGGATTCATGCTAACCAGGAAAGGAATACGTGACACAGGTTTGACTGCTGATTATCATGACACGGCACATTCTCCGCCCAAATACCAAGTAGCGGTCTGCAATCTTCCAAGCACTATCCCACTTGGGATCACTGCCCGTTGCCGAACACTGTGTGCCCGGTGCCTAATGTGCCCAAACCCTTTACGGCATATGATGGCATATGCCACAAAACGGTTACTATCTGTTTGAGGATGATTTTTCAAACTTGAAGGGATCACCGGGGATGTTGCGCGGATTCTCACAGGACAATCAAACGCCGAAACAACCAAGGAATGAGGCTGGGGGTGGGGATTCCTCCAGATGCATTTGGGGATCCTATTGGTGATCCGTTTTTGCATGACTCCGAGAACCTAGACGGAACGCGAAGGAACCTAGAAAAAATCACTTGTAGTTTACAGTCCTTCTGAGAGGTGCTACATGGCTTGTAGATATGGATGGCAAGAGAGAGAAAGTGAGAGAGAGAGAGAGAGAGAGGGGTAGGAAAAGGAAAGGAAAGAGCAATAACAATGCTATTAATTTAGGAGGGGGTACCTCCAATCCGTGTGCATTGACTACCCTGTCAGAACCACATGATCGTCGTAGGGCCCTTACGTTGGATAACGACAAACCCCTTATGCTTGGTTCAAACACACGAAAGCCTCGGCATGCAACCTTTTGAATCTTGAGCCTCATCATCCTACCCCCTAAATTGCCCCCCTTTGCCCGTACATGTCTTTCCCACAAAACCCTAAGCCCTACATCCGAAACAGCCTCCTTACAGCTTTAGATCCAAGGGCCCACTGGCCGTCCGACTGATTCTGGGCAGCATGCACCACGTCTGCCTCCGCAATGCGATTTCAGGTTGTTGTCTTGGCTACTGCTACTGCGGAGGCTAGACAAAGGCTTTACTATTCTGAGCTTAGGGATTAGGATTTGCGGTCTCGGGCGTAGGGTTTCGAATTGATGGAATAGGATTTAGGGATCGGGGTTCACACTTGGGGGGCTTAGGGTTGAGGGATGTGCAGTTGAGGCTTAGGGATATGGATCTATGAGCTCGGGATTGGGGGAACTCTGCCCCTACAGAATCCGTTAGCGCAATTTGTCCAAAGCCTTCGACACCCTTCTTGCATGGGGTAAATGCCAGATCCTACGGATATCCCTATACACGCGAGGATCAGGTCCTTGCGCACTTGTCGCAAGGTTCCCGAAGGACATTATGTCAAACAGCTCTGCCCTTTGAGGAACTGGATCCAAACCTGAACTGGTGATGGAAAAATTCTGTGTATGACTCCTTTTGAGTAAGCTGTGGTGCCTTCCACCTGGCAATCCCTTTACTCTGCCTCACAGAAATGTGCACTTTTGTAATGTTGTTGGGTGGGCTTGCCTTGAACGCTGCCCTCAGCCTGAGCGCTAGACCCAAAAGCCTACACTCTATCTCCCAAACCCTACCCCCTGAATCCTAAACCCCTAAACCCCTACACCTCGAGCCCTAAGGCCTGAACCCCCCCAAACCCTAAGCCCCAAAGCCTTAAATCCCCAAATCCCAGACCCTAAACTCCAAGCCCCACGACGAAAAAACATATATAAAAAAGCTTTGGACCCCTTGGACACCCCCGCGGGCCTCTGCCGAAGCGCTTCGGCTAGCTAGCTGAAGACATGAGAGCTGGTCTTGCTCCTCTGAAGGTTTACTAGGAGGGCCAAGGGGACTCACTTGGAGCGTCAGGAAAACTTAGTCAGAAGGATAATAATTCGGATAAGTAGGATTACTAGATGGGTTATAGTCGTTATTAACCTACTTACTAAGTCCCCCTGACCCTCCAAGTAGGCGGGCCAAGGGGACTTAGCAAGTAGGTCAATGACGTGGATATTTGGCGTTGCTGAGAGGTTACGCTTTGGGGTTCTGAGTACAGTTATGAAGTTTCCTGACTCTCCAAGTAAGGTTCAGCATTTAGGGCTCAGTGCCGGTGTAAGGGTGTAGGGCTTAGGCTTCAGGGTTCAGGGTTCAGTGCTCAGGGTTGGAGTTTAAGTTTAGGGTTTAGGTTGTACTTCTCGGCTCTAATTGCTAGCCTGGCAGGAATAGAAACTCAATTTTGGAGAGGCTTTCGTCCACATAGTGTTTCGAGCTAGGTTGTGCGAGCACATTGATTGGTAAGTCTGAGCCCCTAAAACCCTAAAACCCTAAAACCCTTAAACCCTAGATAACCCTACAAAAGCAATTATAGTAGTTTCCATTTTCTTTTCCGTTATCCCCATATTATCCCTAAACCCTAAACAAAGCACAATCTTTTCCGTCAACCCTATACCTTAAACCCTAAACCCTAAACCCTACGTATCCCTACATAACCTTATATAACCACTATAATAGTCCCCTATATAAACCCTCAAAACAAAGCACAATCTTTCCGTCAACAGCACTTGGGGACTCCCACAGTCCTTCACCGGCTTAAAGCTTGGGCGGATCCTATTTGCGGGGGGGATTCTCGAAGTTGTGGATCACTTATGGGGGGACTCCCTATATAAGCCAGCATTTAGATAGGTTGAGGTCGGGTGAGGTCGCTTTAAAATGCCCAGTTTCAAATATTCGGGGCCATAATATGTGGGGCACCTGAAACGGTGCCACAATTTGACCATGCACTACTTCATGCTAAAGCCCCGGTGCAGCCGAAGATCCGAAGATTTGCAAACGGTATTGGGGATGCGAGGATTTGAAGCTCGGAAAAACCCAAAAGACCAGGCCTGGCAATCAACACCTGAACCCGCCAACCTCTACACCCTACAGGGTTTAGGGGTCAAGGGGTAGGATGGAGGGTTGCAGGCCTAATTTCCGGAATCCTTAACCCTACCCAGAAGATTCTCCCCTATCATCCTGACATGGTTGTAGTCGTCCAAGTCATTTAAGCCCCAACATTGCACACGCGCCAGAAGATGCGTCCTTCTTTGAGAGGTCCGGACGGTTGAATTCATGCTCGGAGGACCTTTGTCTTTGGACACATGCTTTTGCAAGACTGGGTTGCTGTTAAGGAACTTAAATTAAGTTGTCATAATGAGTATATATATATATAGTAAATAAAAGGGTTTCCCTAACAGAAACCCAGAGAATCAAGATAATCTTGCAAACTGGCTTAGGGCTTCGGGTGTAGGGTTTAGGGTTGATGGTAGGGACCGTGGAGGTATGCAAAAAGTCCAAGGGAGATCACTGGGGGCTTCCGAAAGTATCTGTACTTATATAGAGATACATACAAATGTAAGGGTCTAAATAAATTCCAGGTACATTCTTTGGATCGCAAAGTCTAGGGCAGGCTCACGGTGTGGGGTCATGGATGGAGGATGTGTGAGAGACCCGCGTCCTTAGTTTTCAAAGACCCTTGAGCTGCCAAGAGTATATACATTGGACTATTAGGCCCTTTCATTTGGCTATGATGGCGAGTTATGAGTCTTTTGCTGAATGCTGGAATTCTTCTTGGCTGTTTTGAAGACTAAAAAACACGATATCATCCCCAGATAAACCTGACGTAACCGTAAGATACTCTACCCAGACCATGAATTGTTGGGGACACTCAAGACTTATGAAGGCTTCAATCAGGGCTTACTGTTTGAAACCCAAGTCGTCTGGGGGTTGCATACTGGTGAGGGGCTTGGCAGTCCCATGATAGCCCGCATAGACATACAAGTAAGCTTACCAAATCCCGGAGCTCCAGCTACAGCTGCGGCAAAAACACTGCCCAGAAAAAGGCGTTGTGGGAGTGCGGTTCAGGGTTTAGGGGGGAAAAGTCCTCGAAATTGAGGAGGGTGAGCAGCGGAAGGAGCTCAGTTAAAGGAACAGACATTAGGAATCATTAGGGAAGAGGGGAAGGGGGCAGGAAGAAAAGTAGGGGAGCCAAGCAGGTACTACCCGCACTTACTTGTTCGTAGTAGGGAATAAGATAAGGGGGACTATTCCTATACAATATCTACACATATATTCCCTCATTCCCGAACAAGAACCACTAGCAAACCTATAGTCCCCCTTAAATAGATGGAATATGGCTTTGGGTATATTATAATCAGATCCCCATATACCCCATATTCTATCTACTTAAGGGGGACTATACCCTAGAACTGTCTGACTCTTCATCTGTTTCTCGATCTGCTTCGGGCTCCCGCACATCTCACGTCTGAAACAGACTTGCTGGTTGTTAGTAGGGAATAAGGGAAGGGTTTAGGGTTCAGGGTATAATCCCCATATAATCCTTATAGAATATATTCCCTTATTCCGTACTAACCCCCAGTAAGTCTTTGGGCTGTTAGGGCTTTGGGCTTTCGGCACCCAAAATTGAGGTTGGAAGGTCAGCTCTGGAGGTCTTGCACTACTGGAACCAAGTTCCGACTTTCCAGCTTACATCGTATCAGGGACAGGGTGGGAAAGGGACAGTGGCGAATTAAGACGGCTGAACAATTACAATAGGGTTGGGGCATAAGCTGGGTTGCTGTTAAGGAACCTGAATTAGGTTACTATATTGGGGAAACCCTATTATTCACTATATATACCCATTCTGGTAACTTAATTTAAGTTCCTTAATAGCAACCCAGTAAGTTGCCGTGTCCCTAAACCCTAAACCCTGAACCCTAAACCCTAAACCCTAAACCCTAAGCCCTAAACCCTAAACCCTAAACCCTAAGCCCGAGCACTTCAGGCGGACCCCGTGGGTCTAAACCAGGAGAGCAAGGTGCCCAAGATTCGCTGCAGCGAAAGCGCAGAGAAATGCCCCAGATAGGCGCATGGCTCAGTACTATCCAGCTTCCATACATAACTTAATAAGTTTGGGCTAAGGGCTTAGCTTTCGGATTTACGGTTTAGGATTCAGTCCGGGATTTGAAGGGTTTTAGGAAACGGTCCTTAAAGATCCTTGGACATATGGGGATGACAAAGGGTCTGCAAGGGTCCCTATTCAGGCTTCTGAAAGCGGGTTTTAGGGTTTAGGCCTTTTGTCAAAACCCTCCCCGTAAGACCGTGGAAACCCTTCAAGGACGACTGTTATCACAGAGTTTGCGGCCACAAGCACACATGTTGCAGAGAGCCTCATCCTAACAAGATGACAAAAAGGTTACACCCTAGGGTTTCAAGTTTAGGGAAAGCCTGTGGCCCAAGTAGTGTTTAGGGGGGTTTAGGGCTTACAGTGTTATAGTCTTACTTGCCCCTAATCTCCTACCACTTTGGCTGAATGTAGCCCATTATTTCGGACAACTATTGGGTCAATCCCCCACCCAATAATGTATACCACAAGGGACTATTGTAGATGTATTAAGGCCCTATCAACTCCAAGGGGCAATCCCTGTAAGGGGATTGACCGAAGGCAACTAGGTTTTCTGGGTAGGGCTTCGTGTGAATAATTCTGGGAGGTCTTATCCGGGGACCTGCTTTTCAAGCCTTCAGGTGTCTCAAGCTGAGCTGGCTATCCACTCAGTTTTCGTCCTTAAACCCAAAACCCAAACCCTTAACCATGAACCGTATAAGCCGAATGAACTACCAATATGCTGGTCGTAGATTTTTTGTATAAGTGTAGTCTACGATGCCTTTATAAAAACCTCAAAAGATATTGGTACCCTAAACCCTAAACCCTGTACATCCTAAGTGCTCAACCTGATACGCAGTCATGCTGACACCTGGAAGGGAAATCCTCACAATTAGGGCTTAGGGTTGCTTCACAATACAGCTATATAAGGCATGCCAACCTTATTCCAAAAAGAAGACCACGGAATTTCTCTTGACGCGAGCAGAAGCAGATTCAACATATTACAAATCACGGCGGCTAAGCCCCACTAAGCCGGAGAAGGGGCGAGAACGAAAACACAATGCTTCATCTCTTTGCTTTCCACAGATACCGTCCGGCACACGTTGCTGAAGCCCTGTCTTCATGCGCCAGGACTTTGCTGGGCCCTTCAGGGTTTAGGGTTTAGATTTACGGTTGACGGTTTAGGGTTTAGGGTTTAGGCGACAAATGAAATCGAAATGGCATTGCCATTATCTATGGTTGTAACCGTTACTGGGTGGGGAAAACTGGAATTCTGCCCCCACTCAGTAACAGCTGGATAGCCTTCAGCATGTACTTTATCACCCCTATTATAGACTGTTACTGGTTGGGGCAGTATCCAAAACAAAACCCACACTGCTTGAGGAGCCAAAAAAAAGCAAGCAGCGATCACAAGGTAATATGGTACGTGCAACCCCTTCCCCCTTTTAATGGCTCTTCTCACCCCTAGTCAACGCTACTTAACCCTCAACCTTAAACTTGAGATCTGTATGCTACGCGATGCAAGCCATGTTTTGACGCAAGGCGCACTTGTCACGTGCTGTACTTGGGATCAGTGCTAGCAATGGCGTCGGACGCTTTTCTGGTTTTTTGGTTGCGGTGGTATGGTTAGCTCGATGTCTCTGGCAAGGCAGTAACGAGATGCAGCCACCAGATGCAGGAGAACAGATTGTTCTTTTTTGTTTTTCCCTTGTCGTTCTCCTTCTTTGCCTTTTTTCTTGGGCTTCTTCGACTGCTCCGTCTAGTCGGCTTCTTTGGGCTTGATCTCCTGCTGTTCGGATTTGCGTTTAGGCTTGGCCGGTGGCGCTACTTGGAGGGTCAGGGGAGCTTAGCAAGTATGTGAAGAATAGGGACAAACGTGCATTTTTGACATATGTGCCTTGAAGGCATTACGAGCTGACATTCTAAGACTTGCTAAGCCCCCGATACAGTCCAAGTCTATGAACGCTGGACCCATTCCCTGCTCACAGTACGATTATTCTCAAGTAGATCTTCTTGACCTAAAATGTCACCTTTGACTGCTGAAATTCCTGGTGCTAAAAGTGTTTAGGGTGGTGCAGGATCATGCCTTCAAAGTTAGGATAACAACTTTGCCGTAGCAAATTGAGCGTTCTACTCTCCAGCTAGGATTAGCATTAACCATAAATGAACCGTGAACCGTAAACCCAAGTGTGTGGTTCCCATGTTACCCACGAAGTATGAATCATCCTGCGGCTACGAACCCCGACAGATGAAATTCATTTGGGTTACAAGGACACCACAGCCTTTAGTCCTCCTTAATCAAATAGAATATAGGGTATATGGGGATCTTATTATAATATTGGTCAATTCCATATTCTATTTACTTAAGGGGGACTATAAGATTGCACCCATACTCTGATATCTTAACAAAAGTTTTTCACAACCTCCTAGCAAAAGTGCCAGTGTATGGGGCCTAAATAATGACCCGTATCATGTTGAGGTCTATTTGCCCTAGACCTTAAACCCTAAGCCTTTGAGGTACCTTGACACCAATTGTAGACAGAATGTAGGACTAGTAAATAGAAATAAATTATCGTCCCTCTTAGCTCTTCTTTTGCACTTGAGTATTCTTTCTCCTGACTTCTAAATATATACTGGTCAGTATTCAAACCCCTATAGTAAGCAAATCCTCTGTTGAAGCACCCTGCGGCCTCTTGCGAGCAGCAGCGCACCACTGGCGATTCAGAAAGCTAGCAAGACATGTTGCGAAGCACTGAGGTGTAAACTACATTAATACTTACAAGGGACCATAGAACCCCAACCTTAAACCCTAAAACCCACAACCCTGAAACCTAAACCCTAGGACCCTAAACCTTAAACTCTAAACCTTAAACCCTAAACCTTAAACCCTAAACCTCAAACCCTAGACCTTAAGCCCTAAGCCTGGTTGTTACTTGGATCAGGACCGCAAGTTTTTTCCGATTCGTCCGAAGATGGAGCAGATATAGGGCGAGGTACCTTTAACTCACTTCTGCTTAGCTGGGAATGAAGGTTTAAGGTTTAGGATTGGAAAAGAAAATGGAAACTACTATAATGGGTTACATAGGGACTACTGTAGGATCCATTCCTTCATTCCTGGCGAACCAACGTAAGTTAGAAGCTCATGAGGCATGTTTCATCTATGTTAGGTTCGTGCATATTACACGACCTGGGAGGAGCAGGGGAGTTCGATTGCCCCAACCACCCAAAAAATACGGGACCCTACTGTTGATCATAAAAACCCTGCATGACCTTAGTATACTATAGTACCATGATTCCCAAGGTTTACGGTATTTAGGGTCATGCAGGATTTTTAGTATCCACCGTAGTACCCTAAACCCTGAACCCTTTGGACCCTTTCGCTCCCTAAACCCTGAAACCATCTGACTCTTTTGGTGTTGCTGGTTCAGGGAGGCGGGGGGCAAAAGGTTTAGGACTTAGGGTTTAGGGTTCAAGAGTAAGGGTTCCAGTCTTCAGTCCACCTAGTGACAACCTTAATTCAATTGTATACATATTAACGACGTGAATGCTGCAAGTAGTAATGGTAGTGATAAAATGAAAGCCTTCCTTTTATCGTTGCATACATCCGGCACTTCAGCACCACCGGAAAGACATGCCAGAGCCTTCTTACCAGCATTAACTCTAAATCCTCAACCTAGAACCTCCTAAATTAAACAAACAGAGTCTCTGGTGGCAAGGTCGCTACTTCACAAAGCATGGTCAGCATGCGCTACTTTGCCGACCCTCCTCGGAGCCAAAGAAGCAACTGCGCACCGCATGGACACAAGGCTCAGGGTTCAGGGTTTAGGGTTTAAGCCTAAACCCTAAACCCTAAACCCTAAAAGGTTTAGGGTTCAGGCTTAGCAGGATTTGAATGAGGTTCCATGTTCGCCCTGCAGGGGAGGGATTTGAGAGTTTCCAAAAACCAGGATCCTCATTATAGTTTAGGGTTTAGGGTTTAGGGTTATATTTCTGTAGTATAGAATGACCCTGCAAAAAAAGAGCCCACAATCTCTGGGAAAGATCTCCGCCCCAAAGCAGTCTCGGGGCAACGGCTTCCCGGAACAGTACCGGAGCCAGGGGAGTATAGTTCCTACTTGGGTGTTTTCCAAAATTGGACAATACTTTTTCGGGGTACGCATAATAGGAACTAAACACTAAACCCTAAATTCGAAAATCCTACTTACATCCGAAGCAGGGGTCGCATCAGAAGAAAACTATCCTTCTGGACGGCGTGTCGTCTTCCTCTGGAGTCATCCTTGCAGTTAGAGTTTACCCTCAACCCTAAACCCTAAACCCAGGGTTTTGTGTTTAGAGCTCTGAACCTGTGAATAAGGCATCCTTAGAACCCACCTGAAACATACTTTGGCGTCCATATAATGTCCAAAAAGCAAGAGGACGAAAGCTATAGTATAAGACAGTCTATTATAGCAAATTATGGTATATTAAGGTATATGATAGTCGGTTATAATAGATTATAGTAGATCATATATGTTAGGGCTTAGAGGGTTTTGGGTTACGGGTCTATAAGAAAACTCTATAGCCATTACTATTGGACTGTACTAGTGCAAAATGGTCTCTATTACAGGGTGGGGTGTCCACTTAAGATTTTGGAGGCTAGGGGTCCCCTTTTTTGGGTTGGTCCAAAAATTCAGGATCATAATATCTAGGGTTCTTCTTGGGGCCGCTATTTCGGAAACTCCATATCCACATGCGAAGAACTGGATGCAGTTATCCAGCCAACTATCTATGCTTCGGCCGAGTCCTTCGGCTCTATGCTACTGGGAAACGTGGATGCAACACATAGCAAACCCGGCATCGCACTGGTAACCTTAGCCCACCTGTCAATGGGAGCACAACCACGATTAAATTCAGCACATGCTGGGGGCGGCAGTCCTGGACATACTGTAGGAGCCTAAATAATTACCGGGATGGTCTGATTGAGGTACCCTCATACCATTATTAAACCC